AAGCGGCTTTAGCTTCTCAGTACAGTGCTTTAACCCGCTGCGCCACCAGGGAGGAGCAGCTGGCAAGTTCCTTTAACGCGAAATATATATATTTTAAAGATTTATTTGTGCATACAGAACTGGGGTACAGGCCAGAGGTGCAGGGGCGGTTAGAGGGTGCACCAGAGACAGCAGGGAGCAGAACAGGCAGATCGACAAAATACACTGCTGAGGGGAGCAGTGGGTGGATCAGGAGAGGTCTGCCGCGCCACGTGGATCAGCTCTGGGGCAGGCAAGGTGGAACTCATGCGGAAGTGGTTTTCTATTCTAAGTGCTGCGCTTTAGCCCACTGCGCAACCAGGGAGGGCCTAAAGTGAAATATTTTAAGCCAAAATAAATTCCCCCTTTCAAAAAAGGGGGCGTATTTTAAAAAAAAATTCTTACAGGTCCTTTAAATGCTTCAAGCTATTCCCAAAGAGAATTTTTTATACCCCATTTTTAAATTTGGTTGGTTCTTAGCAAACATTCAGGTTATGGTGCTTCTGCCCTGCATGGTGTGCAGGCCTGGCCAGAGTAAGGCGAGTGTGGAAATCCCACAAGTGTGTAAAGGGTGTTTCATGCCACAGTCTTTTCCGGTGCCTGTGGAGTCTCAGCTGAGAAGATTTGCGCTCCAGGATTTGAAAGCAAGTCACTTGCCAGGATTTACATTGATGTGTGACAAGTTGACTTGGACACACGAGCTTCATTCTGTTCTGTTCTTTGTTTTTTCCTTTCTGTGAAGGAAATTCACTAGCCCCAGGAAATCTCTTTACATTGATATATACAAAATTATATGTTTGAAGTATGTCACCCCCATTCATAATGTCTTCTCCTCCCCATAGGTGTGTACTGTCCCTGGGAAGCTGGAAGGCTCGGACCTCGAACTCAAGTCTGGTCTCACTGTGGTTGTTTTTAAACTAAAGCTATGCAAAGCTGTGGATTAAACGGTAAATTTCTAAATTAAAAAGAAGGGAAAATGTTTTACCTGGATTTAAAAACTAGGAGAAGCATGGGCTCAGGCCAGAAACCATCCCAACCCTCACTCAGCCAAAACAGAGTGACCTTCACATTAACACTCCAAATGCTGCTGCTCCGCCCGCCTGCCTGACTCCCAGGAAGCCGTATTCTCACCTTAAATGTTTTCCCATAATCACAATGGGATTCTGAAGTGTTAAAAATAACATTACCAGTTTTGTTCACCTCCCACGCGCAGGAGGCAATTTCAGCAATGACATTTCCATCAGCTTCAGGTGACTGGTTCTGATAATAAAAGAGACTGCACATTATAGAAATTGTGATAGGAATTAATATAATGAATAGTATGGTCAACTCTGATTTTTCCACCAAAACATGCACAGTTGTATGAATTAGTTTACTTTCTTCCTAGTGCTTTTTAATATTCTTATTTGTGTGTAAGGTGATGCCCAGTTTGAGAATTACAAAATGAACTCCCACTAGCCAGGTCAAGAGACAGAAAATCACTACACGGCATCATCTTCCCTCAAAAGTGGGCACCAATGTGACTTTCATCACCAGTACTTCCCCTGCTCTTCATTCTGTCACCTAAGGATGAATCGTGAAATGTTTAATTCAGACATGATTTTAATTTTGTGTGGTATTTAACAGTTAAATAAATCACGTTTATTTTCTGTCTTAGCACATTCAGCAACATGTAAGCAAGATTAACCCACATTATATGATGCAGCTACAGACTAACTTCACTGTTTATCATAGTCCAGCTGAGGCAAAGTAATAATTTTTCCATTCTCGTCTTCATACACATATAGCTTAGAGAGAGTAATTATATTATCCGGGGTTTTATATTCTACTTTTATATTATACTTTTAATCATTCTTATCTGTTTTTAAAAGCATTCCTAGGTTATTTTCAAAATATAGAATGCTTGTTTCTATTTTAAAAACAAAATGTTATAAACTTTGAGATCTCTGCAGAAGGGAGGTGTGCATGTATTTTCTCAGGAGTGCATGGGCGTATATATTCCATCCCGTCCTCACCTACACCCCCTCCCATCCGGCTCTCTCCAGCTTTGGGCACAAACGCCCCTGCTGTCACCCCGCCCCTCTGCCCGGCCCCGCCCCTTCCCGGCCTGGGAACTGGCAGCTTTATTCTGGGACCCTGGACACTGCTGCTTCTCGCCACCAGACGGCGCCCTCTGGCGTTTCCTGCACTGTCACCCACGTGGCCGTGTCCCTCCCCTCCGCCCTCGATCGTTTCTCTCCTTTTCCTTTACCAGCTACTGCATCCTTAATGATTCTGGCTCCTCCTGTTGACCTCGCTCCTTGCCCCTTTTCAGCCCCCATTTTCCTTGGCCATGAGGTCCTGTCACCACACAGCTTGTCCCACATCCCTGCGGCCCACCAGGCAGCGTCCTCAGTACCCCCTGCCTCCCTACACCCCTTGAGCCTCCCTTTCGCCGGCCCCAACCCTGTCCCCTCGCACCTCAGGCTGCCAATTTCCCACAGAACAAACCTGCTCCACGAGGTGACGCCCACGTCGTATTTCTGCACTTGGGACTTCAAAGCAGTTTCCATTCCCCCTGAGTCCTCAGTCACTTAACGTCATTCATGAGTGGCCCCACCCTTCATTATTATCCGCGTGACCTCTTACCCTCGTCATCCTCTTTGGCGCCTCACTTTGTGCTTTGCCAGCTCAGCCTTTACCAACCCAGGGGCACAGGCATCACTCTGCAGTCTTCCTGCATTACCCCTCCGGTCCACAAGACGGCGCGCTCAGTCTCTGGCCACCGTCTTTTACTGCAGGAGCCTCTCCTTCCTCCGGCCACTGTCATGGCGGCGCCCAGAAACTTTCTGCTTTCCCTGTTACCAATCCGTAACACAATATGGCGCTTTCCATGTCACCTGCCCTCTGTGGCCCCAAACGGCTTTTTGCCCCCATTAATAACAGGGCCAGAATACTGTCAAAATTGTTATCCGTCCCAAATGGCTACGGAAAGAAGTTACTGGGCGCATGGCAAAGTCTTGGGAACAGGGGTGTTAACGTGGAAAATCGCGTTGTAAGTAAAGAAGTAGCAGGAGGAAGGAGAAGCTCTTGTGGTAAAAGAAGGCAGCAGGAGAGGAGAGCGCCGTCTTGTGGACAGGGGTGGATAAGGCGGCAAGAACCCGGGATAAGCTCAGCGCCAGTGGGCGTGGTCAAGGGCGGGGCGCAAAGGGCACAGTGAGGCAGGAAGGGGAGCCGGCGGGGCGGGGCCAAGCACGGAATAATAAGGGGCGGGACCAAGCATCAAGCACGGAATAATAA